AAAGTTCTAATTAGCTAATCTTAAAAATTGTAATGAAGTTTCACCGTCGCCCGCTGAAGAAGCGGGAGGGCATTGATTGCTTAGATTTTAGATTGTTTCGCTTTAATAATTTTAGTTGCATTATTATTTTATTTTTTTAAATGTTATTCTTCGCTTCAAAAAGGAAATGTGCTTATAATCTTAAGGACAAGTTAAGTAAGGATATTAAGAAAAAAATCTCTTTTCAAGTATTCTTTTTCGTTTCTTTTTCAGAAAAAATATTTTTAATAAAAATTTTAAAAATTCTAAATCATAATCTATTAAATATTTCTTAAAACAATCTCTTTTAGACTAATTTTTACAAAATTATCACTCCCATTGAACTCAAATTTCAAGGCTTTAGAAGATCTAGAAGAAAGTTCATTCCTTTTATCATTAGTAACAAAAGACACTGATAAATATTTTTACCAACTCAAGTCTTCGAGAAGGGGGTAAATGTTGAGACCTTTTTCATTTTTAGAGTAAAAACTGAGGAATTGGAAATGCATACTATCGATTTGTAGATATTTAGAGCATTCGAATATTTAGTTATTCAACAGTCAATGCATTTAGATCCGCACAAATGAATGGAAATAGTTATTTTAAAAAAAATTACTTTTCACAATAAAATTCGAAATTTTTGTCTTTGAATACTTATTAGTAAATTATAAGATCATTAAGGTACTAAAAATAGATAATTTACCTGATCACATGTTAATTAACATTATGTAATAGAGCACTGAAAAATCACTAACCGTAACAATTCGCAGACACGTTTTAATTTTAACATCAATTTTTTTTAATGCTTCATACCAATTTTTAAAAAGTACAAGTGGATAGTTGCTAAAATATTCCCTCTTTAAAAAAATGTACTTTAATTCCAGATAATAGACTCTGTTTTATTAATGTTTTATTATGATTCCCTTGGGGTGCACTATTTTGCCAAAATACCTGACAATGGAATAAGATTTAACTAATTAAATTTATCTATTCTAGTTATTAAACTTGAAATAATTTTTTTTTACGAAAACTTTTCATTTTTAAAAAATTGTTCAACACACACAATTACTTATTATCAACCTAAAATATTTTAAATTGTATTTAAAATTTTATTTAATTCATAGAATAGATATTTTTATTTTAGTTAAAACTTTAAATTTTGGTTCTAATGTCAAATACGTTATAACAGTCCATTAAAATCACTTGCGTTTAAAAAAATATTCAATTTTAATTGCAAAAATAATCAACAGTTTTTTAGTGAAATAATTGGGTATTTTGGCAAAAATATGAAGCCCAAATATTCCTTTACGTAAGTAAAAACTTTGGATTGGAGTATTGAATTTAAAATTCAACAAATAACGCGCATTCAAAAAGTGCCTACATTTCGGCACACTGACATCATCTTTACCATTACAGTAAAACCTGTTAAGTTTACGAACTTTTTAAATTGATCACTTTTCTAAATTATTCATAAAGAGCACTAAATTTGGAAAAACTATTAAATTAATTAGGATGTAATTTGATCTCTTGTCTATGTAGACCAACAAATTGTCGCCCCAGAAATGGTAAACTAACACAGGTTTCACTAAAATAGTTTTACACCTTATATGAAATGATTTTAGAACCTCAACAAATTAAATAATTTTTACGTTAGACTGAATTATTATCGATAGTAATTATTATCGATTGGTATTGAGTTATATTATTTACTAATAATTAGTATGAGTTCATGTGAGTCAATAATATTATATTTTTCTCTCCATTAATTTTTAAAATAATTAATTATATAATTTTATAATTATCATGTACTGTAATTCCTTTGCATTAGTTTCAGTATTTTTTTATTACATTTATTTATTTTAATGATCGTAGTTTTTAATAAAATTTATTTTCGCTAAATAAACAAAGGCATCAAAGAATAAAGTTTTATAAATCTAAAAAGTAAAACAAATAATAATTACCATATGAGTTTTGAAAACTCTTGACCATTTAAATTCAAATTACTTTCAGTCAGTTCGATAGAAATCAATGAAAACAAAATCTTTCACCACAATTAGTTCTTAATGTTATAATATAATTTGACCCATTATTTGAAAATAAACAGAATATAAGTGAAACGATAAAAGCTAGAGTTTACAATTTGTCAACTTAATAAGTCTTAGTGTAATTATTTATTAAAAGAAACTAAAGTCCAAAATCAAAACTTGAAAATCAAAACTTGAAAAATGATTTTTAGAAAAAGCTGTATCACTTAATAAGAAAACAATTTATTACATTAGTTAGTTTTCAAAAACGTTTTCAACAACAAATACATTCATATAAATACTTTTTTGCAGCGAATTGGGACGATTATCTTATCTGTATAATACATTTAAACAAAAGTAAAAACATTTGTTTCGAAGAATTTAAAAAAAGGGAAAATAAAAGATTTCTATGTACATCCCATTCAATATTTATTCTTTTGTATTTTACACATCATTTTATTCAAAAGCAAAAGTTAGCTAAATAGTAATTATAAAAATGGCATATATTTAGATATATTCTGTTTAACTTAAAAAAATACATCAATTCATTTAAAATTACATAATAAATATTTAAATACTTATTTTTTGTTAGGAATTGCGTCTATTTGTAAATTAATAATTAATATGATAATTTTTTTTTATTATCAGCTAACTTATAATTAGTGAAAACAAAACTATTTTCGAACTATAAAAGGTTATCTATTAAAATAAACTATAAAACATTTCAGGATGCGGTATTTTTATTTTTATACCAATAAATCTTGTTGTCTTATTACATAAGCACAATAAGAAAAGTCAAATTAGTTTCTATATGATTTGAATGATAAGTTAAAAATTCAGGATATTCATAAGGATTCAAAAAATTATAATTAATAATCTGTTTCTATTCATTAAAATTTACGTGATTTTACCACTTTATATTTATTATACTGTAAATAAATATTTAATTTTTAAGTTAAGAGGAAATTGTTGATAATATTTTCATTATTATTATTACTGTAGCATGTAATGAAAAAATATAATATTCAGTGCTAGAACATTTTATAGTTCATTTTTTTATAAATATGCACTTTTTTATTATGAAATATTTTTCTCGGTTTAAATAACAACAATTTAGGTAATGAAGTCCCAGAATCGTCAATTCTTTCAAATAAATTTAAAGTATTATTTCTTTTCACCATTTCCAAATAACGCTAAATATTTTTTTTTTTTTCGTTAAGTATTGCCCATCAAATTTTTATGCTTATTATAGTTAGTTAAATAACATGAGAAAGGAATGTGGCTAAATTTTCAAAAATAACCTTATAATGCCCCGAGTAACATTTAATGTTTAACTTTCATCCATGCGCATGCGCATTATCCAATTTTAAACGCATACTTTAATACGAAAATTAAATTTATTTTCTTTAATAGTGAAATTAATGCAAATTGGTCTTCTTACTTTTGAACTGAATTTATTACATCATAATCAATTTATTACAAGAATTTTTCTCACATTTGTAAATACTTTTTTCATACTCATTATCTTCAAACTTAACCAACTAAACTAAGCCATACAGGACCATAAAGACGATAATTCTTAAAGGAATTCAAATATGAAAAATATAATCATTAATAAAAATATACTGAAGTAGGTAGTTAACAAGTATTCCAGCGGGATGCTTTATAAATCCAGAGATTAGGAATTCTATGCCATTCATTTTGGTGAAGAAAAAGAAATTTGCAGCCCCCTTTTGCTTAGTCTATGAGCTTATTATCGGAATAAAAACAAGCTATGTCTATCATTCATGCTATACAATACCAATTCTATTAAATATTTAAGTAAAGCTGTTTTCCAGCTACAAAATTGTTTTTTTAAACACCTACCAGATGTTGCGATACATTATAAAATTAGTTTAGCCTAATTTTCAAAAAATAATAATAACTTTAACCAAGCTTTACAATTAGCAAAGTGTAATGATGATATTTAAAAAATAAACAGTGTTGATATTTGTTTAAGCTTACAGAAAATTGAGACAATCTATTTTTAGACTTTAGAAACAGATTTTTCTTTACTTATAATAAAGAGAAAAACATAAGTATAAAAACAAAAGGTTAACATTGTACGGAATAATTTATGAATAAAAACCATTGAATAATTTTCTTACATTTGCTAACTACAATTCTTAATTACAAATAATTCATTTAAAGTAGTTCATCTTTTTTGTAAACTTTTTGGACGAAAAAGGCTAAAGCATTACTTCTTCGTCTAAAATATTACTCTAAATATAGCTCTTTGATAAGTTTCAATATAGCACACATTAACTATATTTTTGTTTTAAAATTAGTAGTTGTCTGACCAAAACTATGGAGGACAGCGCAAGAACCCTTAACTCGCAAACATTGGTTTCCTTATTATTTTTTTCTTTTTATCGAATTTCAAATCAATTGAAAATATTAAAATTGCTAATAATGCAGCAAGAATTATAATTAAAAATATTAATTATGTTTAAGTTATGATACTTTTTCATAAAATTTTAGTATATTTTTACTTTGAACTGAATTTATGTCACTATTACCGTTGATTGTATTTTTACCATTTTATGAATGTTTTTTTAAGAAAATTAAGGAAGTATGCACTTCTCTTATTGGCAAGTTGAAACGTGTTGTTTGTCACAGCAGGTCCTCATTTGGATCTTGTGTCATTAAACCCTACATTCAGTTCAATTAAATATCTTTTAAAATAGATTTTGACAGATCAAGCGTAAACTTTTAAATTTAAAATACATTCTTTGAATGTCAAAATATCAAACTTTTTACTTATCTAGTCACAATTATTTAGAGTTAATGTATTTATGTGAATATTTATGTCAGTAATTCCTATATCCATGAAACTGCATAATTATGTAACTAATTTGAAACTCGTGAGTGTTAATATTCATGTCAGCATTTTATAGAATAATGTATTTTAACACTCACCTGTTATCATGCCAAAGCAGATAAACACTGCAACAACCAGGGAGGACTTGTTTTTAATGTTCATGGCTCGTAGAGTGAACGAAATAAAATAAAGCGCGATAACCAGACATGCCACGACGTCTTGATTTCCAATTGATCTTGCTCTCACCTCTGTCTATTCCAGTTTGAATTATTATCTTAGTTTTTAATATATCTTGTAACACCAATAAGCATTTTTATAACTCAATGTTCAACTTTAACTAACAAAACTGATCGAAATATTATGTCCTGGACTGGATCATTTGGACAAATAATTGTGAACAAAAATTGTCTCACTGTTTTTCCAATTCTTTGAAACATTTCGAATAATAATAAACATTTAAATTCTTTAATCATTTATATTCGCCAAAGTGATTTTTTTCTCTTTTAAATAATAATGAAGGAACTGTCAGGTTGTAATTCAACATGATATGAAATTTTCTCGATTATCCGCGATAAGTTAACACATTTATCAATATGAAATCAAAATTTAATTTACACTAGCTTTCGTCGAAAGTGAGCAGTTTGATCATCCTTGAATTTTAAAAATCCGCCAAACTGTTTTTTGATTATATAATCAAACCTTGAAAGTCTTTTTATTTTTCTCTGAAAAACATGGCATTCCATTTTTTCTACAAAATGTATATAATTTATTTTAAAGCCAACAGATTTCAAAATTGAAAATCAACAGTATTGTGTTCAAAAATAGAGAAATAAACTGATTTTTTCTGAATCAAATCAAAAATCTTTAAGCAATGTCAAACTTTTGATTTAGAATTCTCGAATTTTCATATTCTTCATTAAATACACGTGCTTCTTCTTCAATGTACAGTTCAAAATGCCTTTAATATTTTTATAATAGTATTCGAATTTTTTTTCAATGTATGATAACAAATCGATACTCTTTATAAAAATGTCTATAGAAATACTAATATTTCACTGCTTAGGTTAAGCTCCTGACACAATCTTTAAATAAAAAGTCTTTTTTCAAACTTACCACTTTAAAGGCATAGACCGCAATTCATTGGTATCCCAGAAAGAATAGAAACCAAGTATTAAATATAAAAGCTCTTCTTTTCTTATTTTTTATGAATCATTACTCGAACTTTTCGTCAAGAGAGTGAGTTGAGAGGTTTGGGATTTCCTGTAGCACCATTTAAAGAAGGGAACCGGGGGGAAAGGGTGAGTGTGACTTTTGTGCACGTTGGTAAAATAAAGATGATTAGTCCGGATAACTGAGAGTTCGGATCATCCGTAAGGGGAGGGCGTGTGTGGATAACCGGGATGCCGGGGAGGCTGGTGGCGATGTGCCGCTTTTATCTCTTCCAGCGGTGATCTTGAAGACGAAAGGTGGACGAGATGGAGAAGGATGCTGCGATGCGACAAACGTCCAGCACCCCGGCAGGAACATTCCAGCCTCACCCCACACACTCTTTCGTTGGTTCCTTTGTTCGACTCATGGGGGCGCTCGCGCATAGACTCCCTTCTATTCCACCCCACACTGGATCACTACCTCCTCTCTCCTAAGAACGGTAAATGGGGAATACTTAACCAGGGGATACTGGGTTTTTCTTATGGAAAAAATTCCGTACAACACTCCCTTCGCTGATGTGGTCCTTTCAATGGATAAAAAAGCAAATAATCTGTGAGGATGATGAAGATCCCTGATTATTGAACCTTCTTTCTTCTCCCTCCAGCTGGGTTGCGCCGACTCTCTTAGCCAATCAGAGATCGCCTTACACCGATCGCTTGCCTCACAGGATGCAGGACCGAAGCAAAAGCGTGCTTTTTTTTTTTATTCCACTTCATTTTAAGAAGAAAAGAGAACTTTTTCCGGTCCTATAGAATACCTCTTAAATTTCAAAATTCAAAACTATAAATAGAAATTTATTTTTAATTATAACAAAATACTATTGTTAGAAAATTTTAACTATCTTCATATTAAAAATATAATCATTCAATAATGCGTTTAAAATTATACTTCAAAACTAAATGATATTAATAACTGATGGTAATAATCCCAAAACTCGAAAATTTCTTAATCTTAAAATTGAATTCTATCTTCAAATTATAAAAAAAAAATTGTTTAAAATTCATGAATACTTTGAAGGTCAAATTTAACAGTATTAAAATCAAATATAAAATTGCTCATTAACGTACTTAAAAAATTATACATTCAAACGAAACATTAATAATACACATCATTAATCTGTATAAATATTGAAATTGATAAATAAAAATGAATCAATAAAAATGAATCAATAAATGAAGGAAATAAACATTTAAATAAAACAATAAAAACTTCAAAATAAAAAAGTAGAAGTTCCGAACAATACACAACAATGATTATTGATACTATAAAACACTGAAGCATAATAAAATATGATTGCAACAAAATGTATATTAAATAAAGTTCAATAAAAGAGTGTAGCACATGTAAATTGTTTGTCTGCTACGTTTGACTAATGCTCCAAAATGAAACTGAAATTAACTTACAAAGCTTAAAATAAAAATATAAATATAAAATATTTTGTGCTCATTTATTTTTGTTATTAGTTCAAACATTTTTTTAATAATATTATTAATATTTTTTTTTCATATGTTCTGTATTAATATAAACCAACTAAAAACAACCTGTACTGTGACAATACTCTTTCTTAAATTTGAAGTATGAAGAAACTGGAAATAATTGTTATACAAATAAAGTAAATGACATTCTTCAGAAAAGAATAAATATTTGTGCAGACATAAAAAATTACTTATAAAATTGTTTCTGGTCTTAACATGCACAAAAATGTAAATAAAAATTTAAATAAAATATTCATGATTTATCTCTCCACATAAATTAACTGTCATATTTTCATTTTAAGTTGACGAAAAGAAACAAAAATTTATAAATTTTATAATTTAATTATTTTAAAATCGTTGTAATTTCTTGTGCAGTAGTTAAGTATTTAACCTCGTTTTTTTTTCAAGTAAGATTTAAAGATAATTTTTTTTTTAAATACTTAAATTATTTTTATGATAAACATTAAGCTGCAAGCTATCCGTATTTTATTTAGAAAAGCCATAAAGCTTTTAGTTAAAATAATTATTGAAGAAATAGCAATATTTATTTAACATGGTAAACTTAACAGATTAGAAATATTATTATTTTTAGAGACTAATTATGTTTAAAATAAAATACCATTTTTCATTAATATTTCTATAGCAAGGGCATTGAGGAAAGGAATAAATAAGATAATACTATTATAAATACAATTTGTGTATTTCTCATAAAAACTAGTAAAATTTTTATCATTGAAAAAAGGGATTAAAAATTTATTCTTACTTTTAAGTATGACATAAACTTTAAGAATACAAATTTATTTCTAGAATTTACTGGATGATACTCTAAAAATATTTAGATAATATATTTTAAATTATTTATTTTACGTTATCTCTAAAATATTCGAAAAAATATAATTTCATTTTCTTGTCAATCTGCATAGAATAACATTCCTCATGCGATAACTTTACAGTCTTTCGAAAGATCTAATCATCAGTGCAGAATAATTTTTAAAACTTAAATGATTATCAAGAGGTTAAGCACTAATCAAAGTTTAGCTGGAATGCCTGACTACTAACCGATGAATTTAAATTTTATTATTAAATTTATTCAACTCCTAACGATGTATATAAAGCTATATTTCCGAGTTTAATATGTATTTGCTTATTCAATCTCACAACTGTTAGAAATTTGGTTTAAAAATAAATAAATCCTTTTGACTTTGGTCATAATAAATATTTCTTTCTTTCCAACTCATGGTAACTTTGAGCTACAGGTATCAAAACGAAAGTGAATCAGTTGTCAGCACAACAAATAGTGTTTACAGATTGACAACAAGTGCTTTCAAACTGTTCCATGGCTAAGAAAAGTAAACAACCATATACCTTTTGATCTAAGGATCGGATTTTCACATCCTAAAGCTCAGACTTAGTGGTTCGAAGACCTAAGCTTAAATATAACATAACTTAAGTATTTAACAATAGATTTATATTCTTACAGTCTTTCTCAAACTTGTGTTTTCTGTTTTTTCAAAATAAAAAGAGAGTTTATACGATATTTGTATTTACAAAGGAAAACACATATGTAAGTGAATGAATAAATAAATCCCATTACCCCCATAAAAGATGCATAAAACAGGCACCATAGCTTGATCTATCCGAGTTAATTATCTTTAAAACACTTTAAAGAATAAATTAGGTCCATTTTCCCGTTATAACTGTTACCTAACTCCTATTAACCATTTAAATAAACCACCATTTTGAAGAAATCATAGAAGTGTAAAGAGATTTTAAGGTCTATTACTATTCGATTTCATAAAAACTTAGACATCAAAGATTTAAATTACCAAATAAATGGCAAAATGAAAAATAGTTCTAAAGAATATTTTGGTAATTTTATTATGGTACTTAAGACCATGGCGGGAAAATCATTTCTTCGATTAAATTTAATTTTCAAAATTTATATTCTTATTAACATTTTGGTAATAAGGACTATAATTTATGAAACCAGAATTTCCGGTAAACTGTTATCAAAAAGAACAAAACAATTACCTTATAAATAGATTAAATACTGTAAATTTCAGTTTGAGCTGCTAGAATTATCATTTCTTCATCATTGTTTTTACTATACAAGTATTGTAATTTTTCAGATTTTTTTTTCTTCGTGTATGATGTCCAGAACTCGTGATTATACGATAAATATACTTGAAATATGATGTCCGAATTTGTGGAATTATGCTTTTTAGATCTTTGCTGTGGCTCATATCAAACTATGAAAAACTTAATAAAAGGTAAAAATGAAAATAACAAAGTGAAGTAAATTAAAATATGGTTTCTGAAATCATGTAAACAGATAATCAATAAATCTTAATCTCAAAGTAGTTATGCTTATCAAAATAGCAATTCTGTTTAAAGACATACTTGCGAAACACCATATGAAACATTTCAACATTATATGATTGAACCATTTGTAAACATCTTAATTTTCATGCAGAAAAACATATTTGGGGCATAATATGCATTTTGTCCATAAAATAACTTTTTAGACATAGTTCTACTTTCAAAATATTTAAAAATCTAGCTTTAGCAATTATTGCTAAATTGTGAGGACTTTATTCAGGATATCATTGTTTTTATTGCCTATTATCAGAATACCAGTTCTTTGCGTAGGATTAATTAAAAAAAACAATCAATAAATCTGTACTGATGAACATCATTAAGAAATCTTGCACAAAACTGAAAATCATTTATTCACACAGTTAATAAGTAAGTAAGAGTAATTTCATTTATTTATTTATTTACTGTTATTATTTGAGAAAAATAAGTTTTTAGTAACTCATCCCATCAAAATAATGATTAACTGTATTTAGTATGTTTTGTATAGATGTTATTGCTCGAAACCAACTCATGATGATCAAAATTCACCACAACTAAGTGATTTTCTCTGGTGCTTATCCCTTTCGAACACCTTTACCTTTAACACCTTTTTTTTTTTACATTATCTAAATTAAAACTGAACAGTATTACAGCAGTATTAGTAAGTACCAACACTAGTATATTTCACATTTATTAAAATTGCACGAATTACCACAAGAACAAATGGGCCTATTACAAAAAATATTTAAGTCTCATAGGCATCAATACGATTTACTACGATTCTCCTACATGAATTATTATCATTTCTCTATTAGTTTCCTTTTTAGTACAGAGCTTATTTTTTATTCTAATTTGTGTTTTTTAATAATATTAATCAAGTTTCATAGACATCAATAATAGTATGGTAATTTCTTTACCTTACTCTTAAACAATTTAGTACTATTTTTCCATTAACTTTGCTTTTCAGTTCATAACTTTTTTTTTATTTTAAATGTCATTGCTTTTAAATTATTTAGTTTTATAGAAATGTGCTTCAAAAGCATAATTATTTTAAAACAAAAGGCATGGCTTTGTATTATTTAAGGACTACTAATTTGGTGATGTAGTCTGTCTATGCTACCAAGCTTACGTTGATTATTAAGTTGATCTAAATTAACAAATAAAAAATAATTAAATAACTAAGAAGTGCTCAATAAACTTCTTTTTTGGTTAATGAGAACTATAAGCAAATAAGCATCACTGTCGCTATCTTTAAAATCGTCTACAGTTTCATTTATATCAATGGCGCAAGTTCAAAACCAATGACGAAATTCCTTTTTTTTATGCCTCATCTGAGTGATTTAATTGAAATTTTTGGACGATTTTTTAGGTTTGGATGCTAAAATTGCCCCTTTTACTCACTGTCTGTATTTTTTGGATGACAGAAGAAACGGTACTAGAGTTTTTAGAGAGACAGACACTCAAGCAGATCAACTCTTCATTTTATTATTATGGATTTTGTACCTATAACCAAACTAAACTAAGCATCATTTGCCTTAAAAATTGCCTTAATGGGGTGTTTTTGTTAGTTTGTTTGTTTTTTCCTAAAGGAATCAATATGATTTCTCCATTAATTCTGCTTTTTAGTTCATAGTTTATTTCTTTTATTTCAGTTAGTACCTATTACCAAAATTATTTGAGCATCATTCGCATTAAAAATAGTGCGGAAATTTCTCATAAACAAATTGGTGTCATTTTTCTATTATTTTTTTCTCTTTAGTATGTAATTTGTGTTTTT